AAAAAACAACTAATTTAACATCTCTAAGATTAATATATTTTGAAGCACTTATTACAATAAGTAACACTCTAAGTGTAATGTCGATCTTTTAAAAATTGCATTAGTTAATTACAGTTTTATCGATGACGATTGTGAGGTTGTTTTAGACGGTGTATAAATTAAAGTTATATTAAATGTTTTTGTTTTCTTCTTTCGGATTTTTCTAAGAGTTAACTGTACATAGCCATCCTAAATTTTGGACTGATAGACTAGGTGGAAGGCAGCTAGTTAACAGCAACCACCGCTAGTTATTTTGTACTCTTGTTTGGCCGAATAGTGAACTTTCACTGTCATTCTAATAGCGCTCCCATGGTTCCCTGCTTTTTTGTGGAAACAGAAGACTTTGGATTCACAGACTGAGAACGCTAACCGCTAAGCCACGCCAGATCCCTTACGTGTTTGCACAGAGCTTCTTTTTCTGCGTGGTAGATCATGATAACTAACAAAGTACTATCTTAATTCTGTACGTCTAGGGCCTTATATGATCGATGTTATTTAAACCATTTTTGTTTAATTTCTGCTACTTTATACAATGAATATAAAACGTTTGGTCAAGTAACATAAGTGTCATTGAAAATGTTGTTTATCTATATGTGTGTGTATGTATTTATGTGTGTGTCACGTATCCCATACCAAACCACTGGTCGCACCGACTTCTATGTGATACCAAACGAATCGTCTCGGTCCTGAGGTTTGCACAAAGTTAAACTTTTCACCCAATCTCTTAGGGAACCAGGGTATTTTGCGAAAACATTTTTACAGGGATTCCCCGAAAGCGCCCCCCAAATTTGTTATTCATTTACATTAGAACACGTAAATAAGTAGGTCTACTAATTATCATCCGTAACTTGGTTAAAGAAATTCAAATTGCATTATAGCGGCCCTGTAAATGTGGGTCATAGGCCCACGGGTTCGCTGGTACTAGAATAATCTTGCTAAATCTAAGGACCATCAAAAGTTACAAACTCTTCAATAATTCTTTTAAGTAACATATTGGTTGCTTCTTTTTGTTTGAATCACAAAGATGCACAATGGGCTATCTATCCTAGCCTAGGGATTGCCGAAATTTTGCGTTACAAGTCATCGAGTTTACCGCTGAGCCACTGGTGGAATTAAGTAAAACAAACATTTATAAAAAGACGCATTCGTGTTTAGGGGCCTCGCACTACAGAGTTGGCAACCGGTGGATCAGCAGTAAGTCTAAAATAATATAATGCAAAACTCAGGTTTCGATGCCCACAGTGGGCCACAGATAACCCATTTGTAGTTTTGAGCTTCCAAAAAAACAAAAACTAGAGAATTAAAATAACATTTGAAATTGAAACATGTTACCTATTTCTATCTGTCGAAAAAGTAAAAAAACATCAAATGAATAGTCTCTCAATATAAAAGTTAAGTACCTATGTTGAGCTTTTGGGTGACTAGGCCCCATAAATACCTCATTAGCAGGCAACCTAATAGTGGCTTGTATAATCTAAATATCTTGACGCTTGGGGCCTTGCATTTACTAAAGCTAGCACTGATAGTGTGATTCTATTTATTCTTGAATTTTTAATCACTTTCGCGTCCTTTTTGCCTCTCTCTCTCCCTTTTGTTTGGCCATTTTCCAGTGGGTCAGCAACAAGTTTGAGAACTTATAATAACAACCATTCTCTTCTTCGACAAATGTGACAATATATGTGTTTAGGATTTGTATATCAAAGACTAAAAATATACATATGCAAACACAATATATATATGTCCAGCTTTGTGAGGCTTAAACTGGGATAATAAGGAAAACTACAAACTATAAACTAGATCACCAAATCTTAACCACTGAAACAAAAAACTGTAGGTGCAATGTTTTAAGAAATACAGAAAGAAAATAGCCAATAATAGTTACAAGGCCTAATAAAGCTGTTACAAAATAGAAACATGCGAATATTTTGTTACCCTACGAGAAAAATAATTTTACAATTACGCCCGCCTAACCTTGAAAGAGGCCGTTTGGAAGCGTGCGAACCTTGACAACAACAGGCAAGATTGAGAGAAGCTGCTGTTGCGTCAGCGAGTCACGTGACTACTATGACGCAACGTTTCTAGAACTATCATGTACTTTGTCGAATGTT